CTTATGCGGAATGCTTGTTTTCTTTAAGAAAATAAGATAATATTATTCATCATGGATTTTACTCACACTGTTCCTTCAGGACACTTGTACAACTTTTATTTCCAGAAGGTAGGGTATGGGCGGGGGGTGAGTTCGCTTTTAAAAGGCCAAACCTGACAACTCCATGATTTCCGAAGCATTAATGTTGAACCAAAACACCAAACCATCCTTTGAAATTCCCCACTTCTCGTGAATTTTTGCAACGCAGTTCTCCAATGAAATAATGTGCACAAATATGCATATACTAGGGTAAAGAGGGTATAAAAGTGCAATATATATTTGTGAAAATATTGTTTTAAAAAATTGTTACATTAGGGCAGGCATGGCCCAAACTTGGTCCTCCAGATGTTTAGGACTGCATCTCCCATTCATCCCTGACCACCTGGTCCTGTTAGCTAGGCCATGTCTGCATTAGGGGAAATTGCTTTGCAAAAATGTGTACCTTGGGCTAAATTGCACAGAAAAAATGTGTTCATTCGGAGAAATTTGCACTAAAATACTGGTGAATGTTCATGGGGATTTTGTTTTAGAAAAATCATAAATGGTTGCAGAAATGTGGAGAACTGAATTTAAGACCAGAAAAATGAGAAACCAAGAGAACTGAAATTGACAGATCCCCCTCCCTACTGAAGGAGGCCTGTGACTTCCAGAAACATCCCATTGGCCACTGTGGCACACAAGACCACAAGCTCTGATGGGCTTTGAGACCAGCCTTTCCCACATTGTGGCAAACACATCTCCAGCTTGAGATCATATGCTGCAGAATATAGAAAGAGCAGGCGCAGGGAAATCTTCCAACAAATAAGATGGCTTCGTTTGCTGATCACATCGTCTTCACTGGCTTCACTGCCTCAGGAACCACAAGTCACTTTCCTTATCCTTGTCACAAAAGTCTGATCTTTGGGGAAGTGTGTTTGCGGCACAATACCACCCAATCCACTGTAGTTGGACAACCTGAACTGACCAATATGTGACTGAATCACACCTGAAAACACTGACCATCTGGCACTGTCCTTCGTCTCTCTCCCACCCACCCCTTTTTACATTCACATATTCACACTTTTTTCCTGTTCATTCACACATTCTTCTGGAGTGCTTAAGAATTCAAAATTGCATGAATCACTTGGATGTCACAATTGGAGTATGTTACACAAATTGTGTGGTTTGCATCCTTGAGTCTGGGCGCAAGGTTTTGACAGTCTCTGGTGCAGAAGTTGGACAGGGAAGCACATTCTCCTGCATCACCTTCAATGAAGCTATGCTGTTTCCATATGTGGGGCCACCTCAACTAATGGCTAGAAGAAAGAAAAGAAGAAGAAGAAGAAGAGTTTGGATTTGATATCCCGCCTTTCACTCCCTTTAAGGAGTCTCAAAGCGGCTAACATTCTCCTTTCCCTTCCTCCCCCACAACAAACACTCTGTGAGATGAAATAAAAAAATTCCTTCCAGTAGCACCTTAAAGACCAACTAAGTTAGTTCTTGGTATGAGCTTTCGTGTGCATGCACACTTCTTCAGATACACAGTGTGTATCTGAAGAAGTGTGCATGCACACGAAAGCTCATACCAAGAACTAACTTAGTTGGTCTTTAAGGTGCTACTGGAAGGAATTTTTTTATTTTGACTATGGCAGACCAACACGGCTACCTATCTGTATCTGTGAGATGAGTGGGGCTGAGAGACTTCAGCAAAGTGTGACTAGCCCAAGGTCACCCAGCAGCTGCATGTGGAGGAGCGGAGACGCGAGCCCGGTTCACCAGATTATGAGACTACCACTCTTAACCACAACACCACACTGGCTAGATGATACATTTGTCCTGGAGAGGACAACCAGCTACCCAATGCCCTTGCTTTGGTGGGGGGAGAGAGAGAGAGAGAGAAGAAAAAGCAGCCCAGTCATAAGATATGGACCTCATCTCAGGTGCTCTGAAGCCCAAGAATTGCACTCTCTGCTGAGATCTCCCCCACCTTTCTTTGCCAAGCTGAGGTGGCAGTCATGGTAGGGAGGTAAATAAGGTTTAGCTATTCTTCCGTGTGTGTGTGTGTGTGTGTGTGTGTGTGTGTGTGTGTGTGTCAGCCAAGCCCAGCAAAATATCCCAGTTGCAAGTATGAACATCTCCACGTTGTATGTTTGTGAGCATTGCTTTTGACCAAGATGCTAATGAGAACGTCTCATAGCTAATTCTGCACTTATTGGCAACCAAGCTGATTCTTCCAGGAAGCATACAATAAGAGTGATGGTTATCTGATGTAAGAGAACTTGTGGTGACCCCAGGAGTGCATCACACAGCGCTGGATTGTAATCCTTTAGAAGTATCAGACATTCTTAGTACAAATACCTGCATCCTCCAACTGGCATTCCTCCAATCCAAGCAGTCACGGCAGACTCGCCCTACTGTTATATAATCTCCATGACAGAATAGAAAAGTCTCGTGCTAGCAGAGGGGCGGTAAAGTGGAGGTTCTTTAGAGGAATGCAGGGCTGAGATATGAGAGGATTCCACAGTTTACAAATATCTGTTTATAGCAAGGGTGGGTAACTTCAGACCAGAGGGTCAAATGCGGCCTTCTAGGCCTGATCCCAGGCTGTACACCCTTCTCCAGCCCTGCTTCACCACACCCTGCTTTAGATCTTTCCCCTGCCTGGGCTATGTCCTTCAGCTGTCCTAAGGCCTCTTGATCGCCTGCATGGAGAGATTCAAGTGTAGAAACCTCTGGCTTCCATGTGGTGGCTGGCCCACGGCCCACTGTACAGAGATAAGGGCTGTGTACACATTATACCTTCAAAGCGCATTTCTCCCCTTAAAGAATTCTGGCCACTGTCATATGTTTTGGTTCCTGGGAACTATAACTCTGTGAGCGGTAAACTACAATGCCTAGAATTACTGAGGGAGGAATGTGCCTTGAATGTGCTTTAAAGATATGGCGCTTATCCCTCATCTGTTCCGGTAAAACCTGGACATCCTGGGGATTTTTCCCCTCACAAGAGCATGGCGGCCATTTTGGGCACCATGATCTCATACGATTTTGTGCCCCTGAAATAAGGCTGCTATCTTGCATGGTACTCCCAAAATGCCCGTTTTTGGGCACCATGCACAAAAATGCTTTTTCCAGGGATGTGGTGTCGTGCAGGTCACACGACTTGCATGGGAGAAGGGTCCTGGAAGATAGCATCCATGTTTTTCATCACAGCGTGTTGGAGGGTATGGTAGTGTGTAAGCAGCCAATAATTAAATGAGTTGCTCTGCCCACTGCTTGCCTCTGGCCAATGCCATCCCTGGGCAGACAGCCCCTTGAAGGCTATCTGTGACACAATGTGGACCCTGGAGAAGGTTCTCTGTTCTTGGTGTATAAGTATCATAAATGGATAGGATGGAGATATAGCAACAACAAAAATGGGCATATGAAGAAAAACAAGAAATCTGGTTACCTGGCATTTCAAAGAGATCACTTTTGATGAGCTCTTGCTTAAACGTAACTTGGAAGCTAGCAAGATGCTTCTTTTAGGGATATTGAGAATTGGTTCACAAGACAGTATTTATCACATGGTAGGGTGAGGGCTCTTCCAGACTATTCATAAACTAGCCATTGCTCAGTTATTGTGGAGGAGCTTTCATCTGAGTAGCACAGTGGACACAACATTTTGGCAAAGATATCTGAGAGCTCACATGACAAAGACAGAGCCCGAACTGTCAATCTGGAAACCCTTTCTAATCAAATCATTGTTGTGCACATGCTGGACCAGATATCTGAGATCCAGCCAGGCCTCAGCTGTCAACATTTCCCTTTTTTAAGGGAAATTCCCTTATTCTGAATAGGATTCCTTGCAAGAAAAGGGAAAAGTTGACAGCTATGAGCCAGGCTCTTCTGGAGAATAAATTGAAGGATTTCCTTGGAAGAAAAGGAAAATGTCAGTCTGAGTGCCTGATACTTGCATGAGAAAAAGCACTCAAGGGAGCTTGGAAAATTCATAAGCTTCTCAGTGAGGAATGAGACAATTAGTCACTATCTCTTAGAAATTCTGAAGTCTGCCTGATCTGTTTTGGGAGGTCTATCTTGCTTCCAGCTGGAAGCTGAACCAGCTATTGTAGGGGTAGTGTGTTGTTGTAGCACACCTACACTCAGGGACAGACATACACATGCCTGTGCAGTCATACACATATGCTTCCATTAACACACAAACATGCTTATTTATACACATTCAAAAACACACACTTGACTTTGTACCCTTTGAGACAGCTATAACTTTAGTCCAAGTGAATATGGTGACTTAATGTGACTGCTGCCTGCATATGTTGTCTAAGAATGTAAGACCATAAGAAGAGCCTTGCTGGATCAGACCAAAGACCTATCTCAGGTGTGGAGAACCTTTTCCCCTGATGTTGCTGAGCTACAAATCCCATAAGCCCCAGCCAACAAGGCAATGGGTAGGGATGATGGGAGTTGTAGTTCAGCAATATATGGATAACCACAAGTTCACCACACCTAACCTATCTAGTTCAGCATTCTGTACTTGCAGTGACCAACCAGATGACTCTGGGAAGCCCAGAAGGAGGACATGAGCACAGTAGCCTCTCCCCACTCTGTTCCCCAACACTGTATTCAGCAGCATCCTGCCTCCCATAGTGGAAATAACATATACCCATCATGACTAATAGCTAGGGATGGTCTTATCTTCCACAAATTTGTCTAATCCCCTTATAAATTCATCCAGACAGCAATCTCCACATTAGCTGTGTTAGTCTCTTGCCGTAATGATTTCGTGAGTCTCTAAGGTGTTGTTTACCCTACCATTCAGCTCGACCTTTCACTGTCATGAGGAAGAGAGAAAACCTCCCCATCCACTTTCTCCACACCACAGATAATTTAACGTATTGGCAGGGAGGGCTCAGAAGTATCCATATGATTTTTAAAAACGTTTGGATAAGAAAAACAACAACAATTTTGTACGCAGAGGCCTTGGGTGGCATCAAGAGAAAAGCAAGGGGTTTATTTATTTTTTTGGACTTCTTTTGTTTTCGGTGGTCAGCAGGTTGCCAACCACGGCACTGATGCATGATGGGTGAGAAACAAGAGTCTGGGCAAATGGCATGCTGCAAAATAATGGGGAAGTAGATTGGAGACAGTGAAGTAGGGCATCTGATCAACTTTGAAGGATACCGCTGGGCAGATGGACCAACAACAGCTTGGATGAACTACTTCTTGCAGGTAGCATGCTCTCTGCCCATTCTCTGGCAGTTTTCTAGAAAAGATAAGGAAAAACAAGATTGAATTACTATGGCAAAAAAAGCTTCAATGGTACTGTCCATTACCATTCCATTCAACAGAAAACATTTTAAGTTCATGTACACACAATACATTTTAGATGATTGCATCATTCAGCAAACCAGAGATCCATTACTATCCAGTTGTAGGAATTGTAAAATAATTCATAGCATGTCGATCTGTGACCAGGCAGTTCACCCATGTGGTTCTTGCTATGCCCCCATCACCACTATCTCTAAAACACACATAACTATTTCGAAAAATAAAATAAATGCACAAATTTGCAGTAAGCTCAAGGTGTAGTTGTGTTAGTTTGAATAATTTTCTCTATCACCTTCATCTGCCATTCTTCCAAGGTGGGTAGTTCTTGTAACTTCCAGTACTTTGCAATGAGTATTCTTGCTGCTGTTGTAGCATACATAAAGAATGTTCTATCCTTCTTTGACACCAATTGGCCGGACATACCCAAGAGAAAAGCCTCTGGTTTCTTCGGGAAGGTATATTTAAATACCTTTTTCAGTTCATTATATATCATTTCCCAGAAAGCCTTAATCTTTGGACATGTCCACCAAAGGTGGAAAAATGTGCCTTCAGTTTCTTTACATTTCCAGCATTTATTATCAGACAAGTGGTAAATTTTTGCAAGCTTGACTGGGGTCATGTACCACCTATAAATCATTTTCATAATATTTAGTTCAAATAATTTTCTTCTCCTACTCCCTTATTCTCAAAGACGGCTTTGCTCCATAAAGCCCAAAAACTCAAAAACTCTCGAAACAATGATTGGCCCATTTAGAGATAGCATCTTTTTATAGCTCTGAAAGCAAATGGAAACTAGGCTTTAGAGCAGCAGATCCTAGACATTATCCAGTGGACCAGGAATTGTTACTCTAAGGAAACCACGTGACTCAGTCAGTTGAGAAACTATCACTCAGTAGTTCAAGTATGTCAGCTCCTAGGTTTCTATAACTGCATATGTGAGATTGGGACTCCAGGGCCCCCTTCACCAGCTTTGTGCCTGAATTTGCTTATCTTCCTCTTTCCTTCCCATCCATTTTTCCTTCCTTGACATACTTTTTTAATTGCAAGCCCATAGGCAGGGCTTAAGGCATTTACTTGCCGTAAATAGTAATACATACACAAAGCATCATAGCTCTGATCTTTGGCCTGTTCTTATACCACCATCTGCTTGAGCCTCAGTCAGAATTTCAACTCAATCCAGAATCAATGGCCTTCCAGATGTTGTTGGACTCCAAGTCCCATTGGCCCCCAGCATGGCCAATAATCAACATCTGGAGGGCTGTAGGTTCCCCACTCCTGATTTAAGTGCTTGATCCAGGGACCAAATGCTGCAGAGTTCCCCCACCCCCATTTCCTTATAGGTGTTGGGGTTGCAAAGGCTAGAACAGAGTGGGGAACATCTCTTACCTTATGTGTTCCATTCCTGCAATCTAGTGGTGTAAATGGCCCCCGTGGTGGGCATGACCTGCAGAATGGGTCACGTAAGTGTGGGATGTCCGGACTTCACCAGATCTTCCACCTGATGTGCTGCTGGTTCTAGCTGCTCCTCCCCCTCCACCACTGCAGAGAAAGAAGAAGAGTCTTGATCAGCGAAGCTACAAATCAATCCTGACAAAATACAGCAGCAGGGAGGCCCCAGCCCTGTGCATTGGCCATCAGCTGCTGTTCTATCTAAGCTGAATATTTCCTTATAAGCTGGAGAAGATTGTGTGGATGTAAGAATCACTTGCACCTCCACTTAGTCACAGAATCGTAGAATTGGAAGGGACCCTGAGAGTCATCTAGTCCAACCTCCTACAATGCCAGAATCATCACTAAAGCATCCATGACAGTTCTCAACATCCACTTCTCAACATCTGATGGGAGATCTGATGCTTAGGGCACAGCTTATTTGTCTTTTTTTATTAACTTGTTTACATGTATTTTCCACCTTTTCCCCCATTGTGGAATCCAAGGCAGTATGCGTGTATCTCCTCAAGGGTCCCCCATCCAAGCACTGACCGGACTCAGACCTGCTTAGCTTTAGCAAGGAGGTGGCAAAGTGTGCCTTAAGACCACAGGCGACACAGTCCTGAAACTATTATGTAAGTATCCCGGATGAAAGACTTCCTAGAAACCTGATGCAAAGCACTCTTAGTTTGTCAAGGGGACAGCAGGCTATCTATGAAACAAATAAAATATTAAATCTAGCATCTGAAGAGTATCCTGGAGAAGGGGCACATTCGTGTCCTAAAATGAACTGTGCAGCTTATGGACTTGATTGCACCTTATTATCTCCTATGACTTGGATACCTGATGCTAAATCCTATATTCAATAATAAGGCAGCAACCCTAATCGATACCACGCTGTGCAGTGAAAAACGAGTTCCCTTTTTCACTGTGTGGCATGAAAGCATAGCAAACTGTCCATTGAAAAAGAGTGTGATCCTTTAATCCCTTCCTCCAAAGGCAGCATGGCAGCTGGACTTAGTCATGTTCCCTCTTCCTCACAGCTGAGCTGTAATCTGAAAATAATTGGGCAGTGCAGGGGGAAGATTTTTCCCCATGCTATTCATCTTATTATAGATTAAGCTCAGCAGTGGGAGAAAGGAAGCCAAGGAAAGTGGGAAAGGCCTGGGGAGAGATTGATGGGCCGAAAGAGGAGGACCTGTGAACTGTTCCACACCCTAATATGATCCTTCTCATAGAGGTGACATAGATGCCCTGAAACTAATCAGGTTATAAGTGGTGAGGATTAACCCTTAACTCTTTGTTAAGTGCTTGCTGTTCCTTCAAGGAGTTTAGGGCAGTGCTTTTGCCTTCACACACACAAAA